AAAGCAGTGTCTGCCACTCTTGGAAAAGGTGTCTGCAGCATTTGCTATTATCCCTGGCCAAGGTGCTGTCACCCTCTAAATTAGAGCCAGCCTTCTGGACAGGCCAAGGCTTGCCCTGCTCTGGGCTGGCCCAGGGACTGGACAGGAGGTGGGATGGAGACTGGCTGAGCCTGCCATAGAGAACATTAGTGATTTCAGCTGGTAGAGCCAGGGCAAGGTCACAACTGACAGACACATAAAAAGCCATCTTGATTCATTTGTTGGGAGGCAACCATGAACTTTGGAACATTCGGCTTGAGAATGCAGGGATTTAATTTTAAACTTCAGGCTCTTGCCTTGGCTAGCCTCCTTAGTAACTAAAATAAGCCATCTGTTTTGACTTTCTATGCCATTTTCTTGCTGGAGGAATTATTTACCTACCTTCTCATCTGGCTAAAGCTCACAGAGGAAAATATGAAAAGATGCCCAAGGATTTTCCAGATCTCTCTGAAAAGGATAAAAGATTCCACTGTCTTGAAATAGTGTATTTCCTGTCTTATCCCTTAGTCACTTTTGGAAGACTTTTTAACATTTTCATTGGCTTCATTTTCCACTCAGCAAAATAGAGCTGGTCTTCTCAGTACCACAATACAGTTAAAAAACACTCTGAAATTTATCTTGAGCCCAAAATGGACTGGCCACCTGGAGGCCAATGTCAATGAGGGGAATATATTCTTAAAGATTGGAAAAATTTCAAAGTAATAGCTCTATACTAGAACACCTAAATGAATTGCTCCCCAATTGTTCTGTACTGCAAATAGCCAATTCTACACCTTTTAGAATGCTAATCATATTATCCTTTCATAGTACTTCTAGAGCATTTGAACCATATCTCAAGTCTTTACTTCCAAAGCTTCTAAATAAAATCCAGAAATTTAAAGCATTCCAGCTGGAGTAGAACAAGGAAAAGAGTGATGACTCTTTAGCGTGAAAACCTTCAATGGCTCCCCATTGCCCATAGCATAAAATCAGGATTTTCTCATCAAGCACACTATGATATCCTTCCCAGTCTTTTCCTTAGCTAGCCTTCTAGCTTATCTCCTTCCACTCTCCTCTGAGTGATTTTGTATCAACATCTACTCAACGGAATTTGAAAAATATGCCAACACCCCACAGAAAGAAAAATGCCCTTCCTGCCCCTAAATCACATGTTAATTTCTTTGTTAAGGTGACCTTAACATACCTATACAAACTTTATAAACTTCACTTTGAAAGCAGGACTTGCTCAAATGAGAAGTCTTGGCCGAGAGAACATTCTAAGATGCTCTGCATTGAGGAAAAGTCTTGCCCTGCTGCAGAAAGGCAGCTGCTGCTCATGAAACTCAATGAAAATACTTTTAGTTTTCACTGAGAAAACACTATGAACATCTTTTTTTGGTAATTTTTATGGAGCTGCTCCTTGTGGCGCCAACCTTCTCCCCTGTCCTCCACTCATCCCAAGTTCCAGACTCAGAACTAAAATATACTTAAGTATTTAATGAGTTTTTAAGCCCCTTCTAATAACTGGTTCTGGAAGTATGATTCCCCCTGTCTCAGGGAACAGTCACAAGTGTGCATGTATTTGTATGTGCATTTGAATGGTTGGTGAGTATGTGTTCATGTATTTGGCCAGACTCTTATGATTTGTATATGCCATATTGCCTGCTGTTACTAATCCTGGGACCCATCCTAATTCTTGGAGTTCTTGCCCCATTTTTCATTGCAGGGTAACAAGTATCTTGACTGTAATCTATTAATTGAATAATTGAATAAACTTGTTTCCCTCCAGCGCGAGCATATTGTTTGCACACAGTGTCATCCTGGGCCCTCCAGCTATGGAAGGCCTGCCAGATATGTTTATTAAACCCCCTGTGCTTGGAAAGAACACAGAAAACTGTCATCTAGAGCAATACAAAAGTGCCTGTCTCAGCTGGAGATCTCGCTGTTATGAATAAAGGAAGAGTTTGTGGTACAGTTTTGAGATGTAAAGAGAAAAAGCTTCCCCATGGTGCAAATGTGTTGTAACCCTCAGGCGAGAAAAAAATATTGAATTGTTGCTGGCAGTACAATGTAATTATTGAGTTAGCAGCAGCTATGTTTCTAAGCTTCTTAAGGTAAAAATCACATTAATTTGGCCTTCTCCAAAGGACATTCCAGGTTGTTAAATGGAACTGTTGAAACATTTTTCACTAATGAACCTAGCCAATGAACAGCCATTTCCACATAAGTCAAACGTTGGACAAGTTGGCAGTGAAAGAGGAGATGAGCTACTGTGGAGGCTGCCCTTGTTAGCTTGAGGCCACACTGGCTTCGGACGTGTTTTCCAAACTCCTGAGGTGCAGGCATTTGACCTAGGTGGTAACTGAGTGGGAGGCAGGATGGAAACCGCAATGCTGTACTCAAGAAATCGAGTGAGTCAGAACTTGGCCTCTTCCTTTAGGACAGAACGACACATGATGCACACCCTGGGATGAAGAGCATGAGGCTGTGAGGTTTCTAAGATGCTATCTTCTAGACACACACAACACTTGGCTCCTGAAAAGTGGTGGCTTTCATCCCTTCACTCTGATTTTTCAGGGCTTCAGTGTTTTTTTTAAAGTCACTGTAAACCCCACGCATGAATGGTACTACCTCTGCCAGGCAGGGCAGGGAGCCAGTGGTGCTCCGTGATCCACACTTAGATTTTGGGTCACCCTGTGGTGGTCACCTGTCACTACACATTATGCTATATCCTATATTCCTGCAGTGGGAATATCAATAGGAAAAAAAAACCTGTGCTTCCTAATGTAGGGTGCAGCTGTAGGAATCTGGTAGGTTCACTTGGTGTGCTTTGTTTCTCAGATACCAAGAGGATAATTTTCAAAGCTCAAACACCCTTTGCTACTTCTTCATACTCTGCTAGGTAAGGTCAGGGCAATGTGTTCAACAAAGAGGAATAGTGGGTAAAGAAGTTAGGTTGGGGATTCCTGGGCTTATTATGCTTTCATATCAACTAATTGATACAAGGAGATGGATAGTGTGGTAGAGTGGAAGGAGCAGACTTTGAAGCCACACTGAACTTGATTCACTTTCCTTAGACTTAGCAAGTTGCTTAACCTCTCTGAGCCTCTATTTCAACATTTATAAACTGAGTTAAAAAATGCCTGATTTGTAAGGATTATATATAATGTCTGTAAAGAGACTAGAATAATATTTGGCAAATAGCAGAACCAATAAATTTAGCTTTTGCTGGCTTTTTTTTTTTTTCTTTTTACTTTCCATTTTGCAGATGAATTTTGCTGGCTTTTTTAAGTTAATGAAAAAAGTACCTGAAAGATCCAAAAAAGGTGAATCCGGTTCGCAGGAGTATTTAGCTTGCTCATATGCATGTGTTTGGGGGGAGTACAAGAGGTTCTGCCCCAGTTTGGAGTAATTAGGACTTTGTATTTAAAGTTCTCGCAGTCTGATATTCTTCTTATACTTAACCTAAGCATACATCAGCAGGATGACAATTCCATAGACCTTGAGCCTCAAAGCCAATGTGAACCCCATGCCACATATCAGATCCTTCCGTGGTCTTTGGTGTGAGGTCACCCACTTGGTCTTATATATGATTTTATAACTGAAAAAAAAAAGAGCTTAGTGATAGGTTTTTAAAAGTGTTTTTTTTTTTTTAAATGCAGTCTTTAACACCAATATTTGGCAAGATGGTTAGTAGTTTTATTGGGGAGGTGCCCCCATAAATTCAGGATTTTGTCTGGTATTTCACCCAGAGTTCTAAGAGATGATAAGAGAAAGAAAATGAGAATGGCAAAGGAATAAATATTTCATTTGTGAAACCAACTTCCTTGGAACTCCATAAAATTGAATTTCTACACTCGGTGAATCTTAAAGAGAGATAGAAGCTCTTCAGGACTTTTCTTGTGGCTGATGAAACACTTTGGTGTTTCAGTACTATATGATACATTCTTAGAAGGTAGCACCTTAAGTAACATTACCTGATTGTCCATCATGTGGCAGATCACCTAGAGATACCGCCTATTTGTTGAATTCAATGCCCTGTAGGGAGGTAGAGGAATATCCTCTTTTAAACTGTGGACAAACTCAGTTTTAGAGAGGTGGTCGCTTTCACACAGCTCATGATATTTGACTACAAATTATGACCTTATCTTTATGTTGTACTGCCTTTATTAGAGCACAGAGGCAAGTACTTTTCTTCCCTCCATCTTTATCAGAGCTTCCCGGCATGCTTTGCAGCACGGAGTGTAACAATAGTCCGCCCTCCAGGGAACAAAAGCTGGGATAACTATGTTATGTACCTTGGTATTATTTGCGTTGCCAAATAAAGCTATCTTGCTACAGATGTAACCTTCGATAATTTATTGATGTAAAAGTGGCCTCAGGTACCAGGTTTTTGGCAGCTGTTACACTGTCAGAGTACACTGTAGAACATGGCATCCATGAATATTTTATGTGGAGAAGAAATGGAAAAATACACCTTTCAATATATCAGTTCCCAGCCCTGATCTTCATTACTGAAATATGAATCGAATCCCATCTCTGAATTTGATCAACCAAAACTGTGCAAACTGAGAGCTTCCTAAATTGAATTTTAGCAGTGAATTGATTTGAACCCTAATTTCTGTTGAGCACATCAGCAGCTTATGTCAGCCCATACTGTAGTGGTGGGTTAGTGACCTCAGTGATATGTTGGAAGCTACAGACTTAACTGTCAATAGGATTGGCTTGGCCCTTTATCCTTCAGCGGCAGATAAATAGAGCCCCATTCAGTAGGTTCATTGTGTAGGGATTTATTGGAGTTTTATTTATGCAGATTTGGAAGCAGTTGGAGATCATCAACATCCAATACACCCTCTGTCAAATATTTCTCTTCCATTGTTGGGTTATTAAAATATGGGTTGGGAGGTTGGGAGATTCTGTCCTTTTTAGAAGCAAATACTTTAAAAAAATAATCAAAAGGGCATTTTTTTTATTTTGTATTTTTTTGGTATCCAGGGTACCTCTGAGTAGTAGATTTTTGATCTCTAGCCCATCCTCAAAACTGAAAACCAGTCCTCCATTTCTCCAGGGCTTACCTTTTCATCACTTGAAGACCAGTGGTTACGTGATTTGGACCCACTGAGGAACGTAGAATGATATCAGTTCAAAAGTATTGGATACCTGTGGAGCACTTTGCAAGATATTGCAGGATTTTTGGGGCTTTCTATAGAACTACACAGAAGTATTGCTGAGTACTTTGCAATGTGAATTCCTGCAATTTGCAGGAATTTGCCACGCTTTTCAGGTGATCATACCAGGTAAGTGCTTCATTTTTATTTCAATTGGTTTGATTTTGTGCTTTCATTATATTATTGCATTTAGGTTTTGCATACTTGGGGGTTTACATTTTTAACCTATCTTTAATCCTGTCTCCTTTGATGAGCACCTGACTCAGCCTATCTATGTCTTTAATTGATGTTCTCTTCAACTCTATATGCTAAATTGCAGTTCCATGATCTACCTAAGAGATAGTTTAATCAATGTACAAGTTACTCTACTTATTTTAAACAAATGCCTTTCAGACTTACTAAACACCATTAGGGGAAACATGGATGGTTTAAAATAAGGTAAGTGACTTATATTCTTTTAAATGAGGCTTAACTCATTTAAAGCCTTACACTCATTTAAATAATGAAATACTTATATGACTGTTAACAATCTCTTCTGTGTTTAAAGTGTGCTTTTGTTTTCAGAATCATATAATTGAGCAAGATTTCTTTAATACAGATTGAAAGGTATATTCTTGTTGGTAGCTGTTAAATCTCTCGGTAATATTGTAGGGATCTAAATTTAGGATGCTAAGATAGCCCCCTCTCATTTACAACATCAAAAATGTATTTATCAAAATAGAATAATGTAATTCATATTGCACTTAGCATTTAAGAACCAAAGCTCTATAGCCTTTATTTTAAAAAATATATATATAAGTAAAGGGAGTGGTAAATAATTATCAAGTTTTATGAATAAGCCTAAAAGCTTTAATTCAACTTCCAGAGCTATTTAACCTGTCACCATAAATAAATGCAGTTGCTGGGAGCATCACACTTCATTTCTAAGTGATAAAATCCAGGAGACTCCCTTTGCTCCATTCCAATGAGAATGTAACAACTTTCTGTTTTATTCTTTTGTACCATACTGTTATAGCTAGCTAGGACAGAGTCGAAATTAAAACTCAAGCCTTCTGATTCTTAGCCCAGAGCTCTTTCCACTATTGTGCCTCTCTTGAATGCTTTGCTTCAGCGCTGTTATATAACTGAATAAATAAAACATGAATATCCAGTTTGCTCAGTTTTAAGAGAGTAAAATATGCCCTCTTTTCTATAAATTCTTAAGCTTAATTTTTAGCACTACAGTACTAGAGTACTTAGTTAATCAGAAACAATAAAGCTTCAAGATATTACAAAAGATCACTAATTATCAGAGGCTGTTTTGTTTTGTTTTGTTTTGTTTTGAGACATAGCCTTGCTATGTTACTCAGGCTGGCCTTGAACTCCTGGGCTCAAATGATCCCGAGAAGCTGGGATTACAGGCACGCGCCACTGTGCCCAGCCAGAGGCTCTTTTCCTGAAAGAATCATAGATGTATGTATGGAAACCATATATATTGAATTTTTCCAGGGGGGGGGGTCCCAATTTCAAATATTCTTTTCCTAGAAATTTATTAATACTGATCAGATAATGAATCTAAATTTCTTGGCTCAGAAATACAGTTATTTAACTATAGGACTCCTTTAAAGGGCAAGAGTCTTTAGTGAATTTAAACTATTGTTTGATTCAGAAAATAATTGATACTCAAAAATACTTATCTGCAGCAGCCCCAAATTCCACCATTAGTCACAATTTGAGTTAAGGCATTAAAAAACTCTCCTTTAAATGTCTATGTAATCATAATATCAATTACCATTTATTGAATGCCTAGGGAGGGCTAGACTAGGTGCTTTACATACATTACATTCTAATCCCCTAGCTGGTCATTCAAAACCTACATTATTATCCTTATTGTAAAGATAAGGATAAGCAACTTGCCCAAGGCCACACAGCTAGTAAGTGCTAGGGCCAAGGCTTGAATCTAGGTCTGTGTGTTTCTGAAGCCTTTTTATTTTTCCCTGTAAAAAAAATAATATGCGAAAATGTACTGATCAAAAGAGTCCACATTATTTTAAAATGAATGAAGATCCTGAAATAATGGCTCCAGAGAAGTTGCCACAAGAAGGATGCTTATTGCAGTAGAGTGTAAAGATCTGACTTCATTTCCTTCATGGTTTTGCCTCAGATCCCATGGCTTTCCCTTCCCCACTCTGTACTTTGCACCCTCTGGCCTGCCAGGACAGAATGGGCCCTTTTTGGTGACTCAATCTGTTCCCCTTCATTCAAATGTAGGCTTTTGATATAGAACCAAAGTCTGAGAATTTTAGCAACATCTGGTGACAAAGAAGGGACAGCCAATCACCACCTGTCAGGCAGTTACAGATAGAAGAATGACTGCAGCTGAGCCTACATTGGCCATGTGACAGCATGCCCTCTTCCAGGGCTGCATTGCCCTAGGGGGACTAGAACTCCAGGCTTCTGTGTGGTGATTCAGTGCAGGGCATACACAGGGTTTCCCACCAAAATTGAATCAAATTTCACCAGCATGAGCAGAGTCCCCATGAGCTCTCATGCCATATCCCAGAAGAGGTGAGGTCATTTGTATGAGAGAGAGCATCTTGCAACTTGTGCCACGCGGTGGCTGGATAGTCACCCATGATCATGGTCCCTATACTTGCAGTTCCCCAGACCTGCCTCTGGACCTCTGTGCATACCTTTTCTTCTTTCTGGATTGTCCTTCCTCCCACTCTACCCGGTTAATGCCTACACATCCTTCAGGACTTGGTTTAGATGTTGCCTCCTTTGACTCTCAAAACTGGATTTAATATTTCCCCATGCATCCCATTGGTGACCCAGGGCCTGCTCCTCTTACAGTAGTTACCACTAATGTGAAAATGACGTTTTAATTTTTCTTTCTTTCCCAGAAGACTAAGATCACTGAAGGCAGGGACTTAGAGACAATATTGCATCTATTTGAGAACATGGACTCTGGAATCAGACAAAACTGGTTTCGAATCCTAACTTCAGCATTTACTTACTTACCTTACCTTGGGTAAGGTTAACCTTGGATTAAAGAACCACTCTGGGTTTCAGGTTCTTCATCGAGACTGGAATAATAATGAAAACTATCTTGTTGAGTTGTTTTGAAGACTAACTGCAATAATGAACATAAAGTGCTTGAGACAGTGTTTGGTAAATAATAAAGGTATAATAAAGGGTAGCTATTCTATTTATTATTATATACATTTCCTACTATAGTACCTGCTTAATAAACATATTTGGAATACAGATTGTATTAGAGAGCTTGAAGAAGAGCAGTTGACCACATTTAATATGTAGCTCCACCACTGGATCTTAGAGAGATCTCAGGTAATTTGTTGTCTTTTTCTGTGCTACTGTAAATAGTTGGTAATTGCTTGTTTAGTGCTAAAACCCCAAATTCAAATTCAGCATTACCCCACACGCACTTTTTTGCTCCAAATTATCAGGAAAGGGAAGAGCAAGACATATAGAAACCGCAACTGAACATCAGACTCAAGGTATGCCTAGGGCACAAACGACATATCCATAAGCCCATCTTCCTCACATGTCCATCAAACTGCAAGCACAGAGAGACTGTGAATTGTAATTTTTATTCCCTATGGCATTGCTAGTATAGCATGCAGGTCTAACATACTGTACACACTCAATAAATACTTGCTGAATGAAGCAGTAAATACATCCAAAAGGTTTGAATAAGTCCAGTTTCTCTTAGGAGCTATTCAGCCCTGTAATTCATCAGTTTGGTCTTAGTAATACCAAAAGTGTCATGGAGAGGGTATCTTCTTACAGAGCCTGAATTCATCTCACGTAACTTCTAAAGATTCCCTTTTGTTCTGTTATTTCCAAGATTTAGTGAACATGATTGCTACTTGTGATTTACAGATTTTGTTCACGTGCCTGTCTGTTTTGGCCTTTTTAAGTTAAAGTGATGAAAACATTTATGCCTGCCCATGCATAGCATCCCAGTATTCACTTGAATTATATTAGTTCAGTCCTACACCTCTAAGGCACCTCTTATGCCTCCAGTGTCAGGCACTATGCAAGGTTCTAGGAATACCGAGACCATTTTCTGGTACAATCACATCTTCTTTGTAGTTGGGTAGTGTCAAAACTTCCCAATTACAGCACATTTTAGGACTAGGTCATAGTTTGGTTTTGATTTTTTTTTTTTCTAATCACCTTCTTGGAGTTGCTGGATTTGTACTGGCCTCTTGGGTGTTGTCTATTGCTTTCTTGCTCTAGTGCTTCTTGTCACATACATGATCCACTCCAATGTCCAAGACAGATATTCTCATCTCCAAACCACTACAAGGGAAGGCAGCATTATCTCAAGAGTCTCACCATATTATCAACTGGAGTGGTTGTGCAGCTCCTGGTGTTCTCTTTCCAAGAGTCCAGGGGCCCAGACCTTGCTCTATTTCTGCATGATGCTCTAGGGAGCACTGGATTTGGAGTCAAAAGATTTGGGTTCAACTTGATTCTGCAGCATTCTAGCTGTCTGGTTTTTGTCAAGGTATTTAAATTCATGCATATATTTTCTTACCTAAAAAATGAGGTCAAAATTTACCTCACAATTTTTCTGTGAGGGTTAAAGAATACCACTTATGAAAACACTTTATAAACAGCAAAGTAAGTTGAAACAGTAAATGTAAGTTATTATTTATTATCATCTGTGATGACACTTAGAGGATTTGCGTTGATACACTGGAATATACAATCTTCTAGAAGCTCAAAGAGCTAGGCCACCAGAACTTAAATTTCTCAATCTCTCAGTGAGAATTTGAATTAATGATGTGTATTTATTTAAAGACAAGTGAAACTGTCTATGCAATAGCAATGTCACTTTCTTGAAGGCAAGAAACTCTTTTACTTGGGCTTAGAGTTGGCAATGAAAAAATATTAAAGAAACAAAGAAAGAGACCTTAATCAATGGTTCTATTTAGTCTCCCTTAGCTTATGTTGTAGCTGAACTAGGAAAGATAAAGAACGTTTTCTCTCAAAAATTCGTTCTGTAAATGGCAATGTGTTTCTGCCATCATTCTAATCAACAAACATTTATCAGATGTTTGTTTTATGGGTACCATGATGTTTATCTAGCTGTAGTTTTCCTGTTGTTAAATTAAGACTTT